AGAAGCCCACGAGGTCATATGATGAGTTGTTGGAAAGTTGCTCTAAATACTCAACATGGAGGAGGGCTGCAGTTGATGACTTGGCAAGGCCAGTACACGACGTTGAACGTAGGCTAGCGGACGCAACTCAGAACCCTTTGTACAGCCCCGTAGACTGTGTAATCGTCTCAGAGTCGGCAAAAATTTTGAGATGTAAGTCATCAATCCTAACTATAGATTCCGCTACATAAAGATTTAATTGAATAGGGTTCAAAAGTGTACTTAGGTCGACGTTCTTTATAGAACCCAACACTTGCGGTTATTTTTCTCATGAAGCATCTTTGGGATAGTTCTCATGAGTTCTTGCCCTTGTTTCGTCTCTAAGATCTCCTCACCAAGCATGCCCTTTGCCCTTTGGTTTACGAGGTCACAAAAATGAGCATAGTACCGATCAATGGTTTTGTGTTCCTTTATACGAATTTCATCCAGCTCGGTGGTGATCCTTTGAATTGGAAGATATCACTGCGTTGGTACCATCAAGCTGTTGTTCGAAAATTTTCTACGTGTCACGTGTTGTAGTGCAGTAAATGATCATCTTCTGACGCGTTGGGTCAACTCCTGACACGATAACATAGAGAGCGCGAAAATTTTCTTTTTCCCCAAAATTTTCGTTGATCGTTCATAAATCTCTTGGTTTTCAACCTTTACTTACGTGGTTGCATCGGTGGACAAGGATGACGTCAATTCTTTCATTTTGGGGGGTGACTTCTCTATCATAAGCATAGTCCAACCAGTCACAATAATATGCCAAGTCCCTTTGCCTAAAGACCGTAAGAGAATCATCATCATGGATTTCCAGTACGAGTAATTAGATCCATCAAGATACGGAGAGCGCATGATAGACATAGAGTTGTGGTTCATAGTGCTCGATCTGGCATTATGAACCACGACAAAAAGGACCTTAGATCTTTATCTTGTGATCAAAATAGAAACATTGTTCTAGAGCCAATTAAAAATTTGGGTGGAGTATGTAGAGTAACACAAATTTTGTAAGAACACATAAATTAAAAGCGGAAGCAACTATAAAATAAAATTAGTCTTCGGAGAGTGTCCCACTACATATCTAAGATATTTTATTATAAAATGGGTCATGCACACGATGTATAATTTGGAATTACACATATAAGACTCCCTTTCTAAACTTACCACAACTATACTTGAAACTACTAATAACTTCACTGGCCACAACATGAACCATCGCAACAATTTGGAATCCATCCAGGCTGATAAAGTAAATAATATCTAAGTACCTAAGAGTTCACTAAAACAAAACAACTTCAATTATTCAATGATGCAGGAATACAAAAATGAAATGTTGAATATCTAAAAAATATAGAACGACTACCACAAACTCCTTAGAGATTATCTTGAACAAGGAAGATCAATACTAATTGTAATTGCAACAATTCATCCCTGAGCCTTTGTGATGGCATAAATAGAGACTCTAAGTTGTAAGGCGTCGTCACATTTCATGTCTTCAATGTCCTTCCTAGTGGAGTTAATTTCCTTCCAAATTAGATCGACTTCTTAGATTGAAGATCTTCTTAATCTTCGATCATTATTTACGCAGGAACATTGTTTTCAGTTTTTTTTTTTTTTTTTTTTTTTTTTTTTTTTTTTTTTTTTTTTTTTTTTTTTTTTTTTTTTTTTTTTTTTTTTTTTTTTTTTTTTTTTTTTTCAAATCTTGGCTAGTATCTTCATCAGTATATTCATTGCTTGATTTCAATCTTCTTAAATTAAGTGCGAGATCTTCATGCAACGATTAACTCTCAATTATTTAAGTAATTAATGCATCATTTATCTACAAGAGTAAGAAAACTCATTAATTCAACGCATTATTAGATATAAATACAGTAAGATAGTATTAGTAACATAATACTAGATATTTCTATCTAATACTTACTACAATAAATAAGTCTAATATATTTTAATTAATAATAAAACATAAAAACAAATTAATTAGAATAGAGAAAATAAAGAACTTCCGTTTTAATTTGTTTTGTTTGCCTAGCAAAAAGATAATCAAGATTGTCAAGTTTGCATGCCAAAAATAATATTCCAGTATACAGTAATGCTCCCCTACCTACGGTGGATATATGTTAATATGCTTACCGCTTATGTGACATGCATACATTAGTGATGTTAATATGTTCAAAAAAATATGTCACAAATGTGTGCATGCCATATAAGTGGTGGGCATATTAACATGTGCTCACCGCTTATGTGGCATGCACACATTGGTGATGTTAATATGTTCAAAAAAATATGTTATCAATGTGTGCATGTCACACAAACGGTGAACGTATTAATATATGTCCACCGTTGGTAGGGGAGCATTACTCTTCCGGTTTATGTTGTAAATTCTGTGTAATAAAAAGTTAAACTAGTCACATAAATAAAGATGAAAGTGATCACATTCCTCACCTGTGATTTTTTACTCTTGAATATGCAAGGCTAAACTAATTTTCATCCTGGGACGACAATTGTCATGCAGGCTGCAATTTTTTTAATAGAAAAACATCCTGAAAGGGTGAAGGATTAAGACCTGATCAAAACTGTATATAATCAAGACTCCAATTGGGTCAGAAGAATCAAAAGCTTACAAGGTCCATACAAAAACAGACAGAAGAAAAACAAACCAAAACGAAAAATTTAAATATGAGTTCACAGGTGCCCAGACGTACAATTTGCACCATAAACTAGGCCAAAATGTATTAAAAAAAGGCAAAATTGCATATAATATCACGACCTTTATCGAGATTGTAAAATAAGCATGACCTTTTAACTTTTGCATACGATATCACATCCTTCAATTCTTTGCAAATCGGTACATACTTTTCGTCTGCTGCCAACTCAAATGCTGATGTGTATTTATCAGGCTATTTTTTTTTCATCTCATCACTGGAACGACGTCGTTTTGTCGGACATGTTTAAGTTCGTCTTTTTTTCCACGTCATCTCCAAACGACGTCGTTTTTGTTTAAGTGTCGATTTAAATAGAAAAATTGCAATCCATTTTTATTGTGAAACCCTAAAATCACCTTCGTTCCCCGATTCTCTCTGCACTCTGAATACAAATCGAATATCTATTGTATTGTAAAGAAATCTCGAAATCTCGTTGTGGTCCTCCGACAACTTCATGCTGTAAAGAAGATCCTCATTCAAATTTGTTGGTTATTTTATAATTTTAGACATCACTTACCATTCGATATTTGCATCGGTAATACCTCCTAGCCGGATTCAGATCAGTATGAGAGGTAATAAGAAGATCGGGCTCAATCCTATGTTTACATTCTAATTTCGGATTTGCTGAACTCGGGAATGTTGTTGCCGAACTTGTCTTCCTATATGAATTGGAACCAGTCGACATGGAGTGTTCTTCAAAACTGAGCAGTTGTCTTCTAAGGTTCTTCCTCTGACCAGAGCAGAGCACGTCGCAGCTTCAATTTAGGAAATTAGGGTTCTTCAGACAACAATTTAATTTAAATGCAAAATTGATGCGTAAAACGACGTCGTTTGGGGATGACGTGGAAAACAAAAGACGAACTTAAACACGTCCGACAAAACGACGTCGTTTCAGTGATGAGATGGAAAAAAATAGCCTGATAAATACGCATCAACATTTGAGTTGGCAACAAATGAAAAGTATGTACCGTTTTGCAAAGAATTGATGGATGTGATATCGTATGCAAAAGTTAAAAGGTCGTGATTATTTTGCAATCTCGATAAAAGTGGTGATATTATATGCAATTTTGCCTAAAAAAAAAAAGTAATCTAGTGAAATCCGAATGAAGGGCTGCAGTCTTGGTTAACAAACGCGGGATTGTTTCCGATTTAATAAGTTAATCCTATGATGTTGTGTAAAACAAACAAGCCACTAGTCTACTCATATCTGATATCCGCTTCTCCACTCGCACTGCTCCGCCTCGCCGTCACACTCCCTCCGGCGCTCGGTTCGCTGCCGTCAAGTCAGCTGGCTCCCAAAACTCTATAACTCGAGGTCGGCTTTACCTTCATGACATGGTAACAAAGAGGGTTTTTTTTTTTTTTTCTTTAAAATTATAAATTTGTAATTGTATGGTTTTAATTAGTATAATAGGGTGTAAAATTGTGGTAATTACGGTTTGTTAGAGTAATTTTCATTACAGCCTGAGAGTGTTTAATTGAATGAGAATTGAGATTGTTTTAAGCTTCAGGGATTCGTTGCCATGTTCATTCCTTAGTCTGACGGATTATGATTTTCTTTTCTTTAATTTCTCTTCTGAGATAGTTCAATTATTAGAAACGAGCTTCCTCGTTTGAAATGGGGAAGCATTGGAAGAATTAAGGCCCTCTGGTTTAGAACTCATCCACCAGACTTGGAAAAAGGATTGGAATAATTAATGCTTTTATTTAATTTGATGTATTGCACCTTGGGTCGGAAACAACCTCCTTGTATAATTACAAGGGTAAGGTCTGCATACAACTGACCTCCCAGACCCCTACCAGTTGGGAATATACTGGGTATGTTGTTGTATTTAATTTGATGTATTGGCAGGACTTTAATGAGGCAAGCAAGACATCAGGAGTGTAATATGCACACTTTCTGTGAATTTCTTGTTGTAAATGATGCTTTCTGAGTACTGATGTTGTGTTGTGTGTTATTTAGGAAATAAGTGTAATCTGAAAAAAAAAAAGAAGAAGATAAGGCTGGGGCGCGCGAGCTGGAGAGGAACTGGAATATTTCGCAAATGCAAAGAGAATTGAAATCAACTCGTCCATCTCTGCTATGACACATTGATCCTTGTTTCATTTGCTCGTAGAATTGCACTTATGTACTTAGCAACAGTTGTTGCATCTTCAGCTACAAAATCATCTTCTAAACTGAAACCCGTTTCAAGAACGACAATAAATTTCTCAAATTTGGACGCTCTGCTCTCTCAATGCTCGAATCTCAAGATCTTGAATCAAGTTCTATGTCAAATGATATGTTCGGGGCTAATCAAAGACACATATGCTGCTAGCAGAATTATCAGCTTTTCCACCGACTCACCATTTGTTCACATTGATTATTCCCAGAAAATATTCACAAGCATTGTGAATCCAAATGGGTTCATCTGGAACAAGATGTTGAAAGCCTTCGTGCGGGTAAAGAGGCCACACGATTCGATTTCCATGTACAAGTCAATGTTAAAGAACAACTTCTTGTGTATTGATAACTACACTCATCCAATCTTAATCCATGGCTGCTCTGTCGGTTTCTTGAATTTCGAGGGGCAAGAGGTGCACAGTCATGCTGTGAAGATGGGGTTCGAGGCTGATGTTTATGTGGTTAATAATTTGATAAATATGTATTGTACCTCTGGGCACATGGATGATGCTCGAAAGGTGTTTGACGAGAGTTCTCAGCTGGACTTGGTTTCTTGGAACTCAATGCTGGCTGGATATGTCCAGTGGGGGAATGTTGACGAGGCAAAACTTTTTTATGCTCGGATGCCTGAAAGAAATGTCATTGCTTCAAATTCTATGATTGTGTTGTTGGGTAAGAGTGGGAACGTAGGTGAAGCGTGCCGACTGTTTTATGAGCTGGACAAGAAGGATCTGGTATCGTGGACTGCTCTAATTTCTTGTTATGAGCAGAATTTGATGTATAAGGAGGCTGTAAATCTGTTTTTGACCATGCCTAGGGATAGAATCTCATTAGACGAGGTGGTAAGTGTGGCCGTACTTTCTGCTTGCTCACATCTATTAAGTTTGCAAATCGGTGAAACTGTTCACTGTTTAGTTCTAAAAGCCGGTTTGGAATCTTATGTCAATCTGCAAAATGCTTTGATTCACATGTACTCCAAATGTGGGGACGTGTTGGCTGCTCAGAAGCTATTCGATTCTGGTTGTTTCTTGGACTTGATATCTTGGAATTCTATGATATCCGGTTATGTTAAATGTGGATTGGTCGAGAAAGCTAGGGCGTTATTCGACCGCATGCCTGAGAAGGACGTTGTCTCTTGGAGCTCGATGATATCAGGTTACGCCCAGTCAAATATGTCCTCTGAGACTTTAGCATTATTTCATGATATGCTCAACGAAGGTGTCAAGCCCGACGAAATGACTTTGGTCAGTGTGGTCTCTGCATGCACTCAGGTAGCGGCGCTGGACCAAGGCAAGTTGCTGGATGCTTACATACGGGAAAACGGGCTCAAGCTGAACGCGATTCTCGGCACAACTCTTATTGACATGTACATGAAATGTGGGTGCGTGGACAATGCCATGGAGATTTTCCATGCCATGGAGAATAAAGGGGTTTCTTCATGGAATGCCGTGATACTAGGCCTGGCGATGAACGGACGGGTGGACGTGTCGCTCCAAATGTTCGACGAGATGAAGAAATCTAAATTGAACCCAAATGAGATAACCTTCGTCGCAGTTCTTGGTGCTTGCCGGCACATGGGTCTGGTCGAACAGGGTCGTAAGTTTTTCCGCTCCATGACTGAGGAACACAATATTGAACCCAACATTAAGCACTACGGGTGCCTGGTCGACCTCCTTGGACGTGCAGGGCTTTTGAGGGAGGCAAAGGAACTGATCGAGACCATGCCCATGGCGCCAGATGTCGCCACCTGGGGGGCCCTACTTGGGGCGTGCAAGGAGCACGGTGACAGGGAAATGGGGGAGGAGATTGGGAGGAGGTTGATCGAACTCCAACCAGAGCATGACGGGTTTCACGTGCTGCTCTCGAATATATACGCTTCCAAAGGTAACTGGGGCAACGCCATGGAGGTTAGGGAGATCATGGCCCGGCAAGGGGTGGTGAAGACACCTGGATGCAGCATAATAGGAGCCGGACGTTGAATATTCACGGGTTTATGTGAGTTCAGAAAATAGGGCCTATGCGTTTCACAACTATGGGATGACCGGAGTTTCAGGACACTGGTTTGGCTGCCTCTGGTGACCTTTTTTTCTTGGCTCGAACGTAAAATGTCAGCTATCAATATTATTATACTAAATGTTTTTTGTTTTTGTGATAATTGGTATGATGTTGGAAAATGCTTGTAAACATAGTTAGAATGAGGTAATGGAATTTGAAATAGTTTTATTTTTATGAAATGGATATGCTTTGTGGTTCAAAACTTTGCCAAGTTGTGAGGATGGAGTGAAATTTGGAACTCAGTTGTAAGCTCAGTCTTTGTGTCTTAACAATATGCTATGAAACAGTAAGAGTTCTGGAGACCAACTATGCTTATTCTTTGTGAATGCTTAAAAGTTTGGTGTTAAGAATAAAAAGCCCGTGGAATTATATTTCCGGATGATTTAGCTTTACGAAGATGTAGGGGTGCTGTTTTTGGGTCATTCTTAATTTTAGCAAATGCATAGATCTTTTCACATTCAATCTTAATGTAAGCATTCTTCATTATACTCGGTAGCACTGATATGGGAAAATCTAATTCTTTCTGTTTTTCTTTCCTGGCTTGGATGGCTTAGAGGTCTCAGTTCGGGTGGAAGTTTGTGCTGCATGGAGTAGCATGTAGCCACCGCCAAGGACAAGGTGAATTAATTAAGGTAATACTTTTTTTTTTTAATTTTATTTCCTTTTTCACTGCAAAAGAGTTTATTCAGGAACACATGCATTAGTGATTTTGTTTCATCAACATCATCAACATCAACATACCCAGTATATTCCCAACAGGTTGGGGTCTGGGGGTCAGTTGTACGCAGACCTTACCCTTATAATTATACAAGGAGGCTGTTTCCATAACGACCCAAGGTGCGTTGCGTTGTTTGATATATTTTTTTTCTAGAAACTTCACTAATAAGAGAAGCACTAGAATTTAATTGAGCCATTTTGATCTAGTCCATTATTTGCACTATGCCAGGAGCATTAGTGATTTTGTTTGTTCCAAATTATTGCATCTGGCTATAGTAGATAAGAAATGGTTTCCCTGTCACCTTTTAAGCTATTTTGATTAACATAATCAAAATCTCTCTGCCAGTCTGAACGAACTTCATCGAACTTATTTTTTTTTTCCTTTTTCCTTTTCTTTGTTTTTTCCCTTTTTTTTTTTTTGGTTATGAAATCTGCTGACCACTGGAACAAAGTTGGTCAAAATGTTTAATGTTAGGGTTTCAATTGATGATGACCATGCTAAAACATATGCACAAGTATTAGCTGAAATATTGAAACTGCAAATCTTCCTCTTGAGAAATGCAAGCCTCTATTCATTCATTATTGGATCACTCTCACATTGAAGCACTATGCAACCTTCCTTATATGTACTGTTTTTTTCTTGTGGGTTTTGATAGAGATCGAATGAAATAAGGCATAAATAATGGAAAATATTGAAGAATAAATAATAATTGAGCATCCAAGGAAGGAAGAATAAATCTACAATCGTATTAAATGATTTACATACATTTTGTTATATGAAGTTTATTCAAGCAAGTCACAGAATAAATACGATTTATTATGTGACTTGCTTGGATGCTCAATAATTCTATTCGTATTTCCCTTATAGGCAGACTTATCAAGTCTATTTATTCTGTGACTTGCATACTCTATAAAAAATGGAGATGCAATAAATTAAAATTACATACATTTTGTTATATGAAGTTTATGTCTAAATATAAAAATTTAGGTTTGCTCATTTTTTATACATTTAAGTAATCCTCTCTCTCTCTCTCTCTCTCTCTCTCTCTCTCTCTCTCTCTCTGTCTATCTCTCTCTCTCTCTCTATGTGTGTGTGTGTGTGTGTAAATTCTTGAAACTGGAATTAATGACTGGAGTTGAATCCAACACTTGCTCCTATTGCTTTTATGAAGCACAATGAGAGAAAAGAAAAAAAGGGGAAACGGAAAGAAAAGAGAAAGAAGACGATACTGAACCAAGTGGCGACTTCACTTGAATTTTTATCATTATCAATGATTTCACGTGCTTCTGAAAGGTGCACAATGCAATGTGGTGAACTAAACTTCCTGGACCAAATAGCTAGTGGATTTGCAAATTATTGAAATTCATCTAGCCAGGAACATGTAATGGATTTTTTTCATCCTTCATCAATCTGCATATATCTGAATAAGGGAAGCTGTGCCCACTTAAAAAATCTAATATGTCCTTGCATTGTAGGTTGTAGCCTGTAGGTGTTGATCTCTCCAGGAGAATGCATAAAGTATCATATGGCCAAACATGATGGGTTCGTTCAATGTCATTCTCTGTTACAATAACAGTTTTCTTTCTTTCTTTTTTTTTTTTTTTTTTTTTTTTTTTTTT